CCCCAAAACCCCAAAACCCCAAAACCCCATTAGCATCAAATTCAAAAATTGCAGATGAATATTAAATTAATTCTTCTTATGATAATTGATAGACTTTTATATTGTTAATTACTTATAACTTTACGATGGAAAAATAAATAATGCTGACTAGAGAAAGTGTATAATCTAATAATCTTTCAAGTAAAATAGCTTTTAGTCCTTCACGATACACATCTCCCTCTATTGACAATCTAATAAAAAAATAAATTTAAGATCTTAGAGATAGAATAAACAATTACAAGGTGCTCGCTCATTTGAGAGAATCAGGAGCAGGTATAAGTTCTAGAGATTTGCCAGATCATGCTGACATCATAATTTTTGGACCAACTGGATCAGGTAAGAGCTCTCTGATTAGAACATTCTATCGAGCATTGCACAACACAAAGGAATTAGGTGATGATATATAGGAAAAGCTTAGTATCAAATAAAAAGATGAGAATGAAGGCACAACAGAATTCACAGCTGTTGTCATAAAGAAGCAGACAAAGATAGATGAGGAGTATAAGAAAAATTAAATAAGAATTACTACTGGCAATCAGACTATCAATGACGATGAGTTTGAAGAGTAGTATCGCAAGATTAGGAATAAGGGAAAGAGGTCAAAAGATACAGAGCTAAGTAGTAAAATTATAGCTCACGATACTCGAGGGTAAATATGGATGGACGAAAGAGAAATGAGGTAACTTCATATACTGATAAAAGGAAAAGTAAAAGATAAGACTAAGGTAGAGTAGAGAAACTACAGATATGCATATCTACTTTGGGAATTTTGGAAAAGAGATCAGGATTTATTCCCAAACACTATCCTTTAAAAGGGAAAATCTATTAAGAGGAAACCCCATTCTCTGATATTTGTATTTGATGGCTCAATGGATGAGATACCTAACGGAGAGGAAGAGACTAAGTTCTATAAAGATATTATTCAGATGGCTAGAAGAAGAAAGTACGTCTACCCACAAATAGTTCTGACTTGTGTTGATAAGATTGAAGATAAACTAGTTGAGGAGGAAGAACTGAAAACAGGCTAGCAACTAGATTTCTTTGAAAAAGAGTAAAAATTAAGAGAAATTATGGACTATAAAGAAGAAAAAGTAGTATTAAATCTTGGCATACAAAGGTCCAGCGTACATTTTATAGAAAACTATAAAACTAAGGATGAAGAATAGAAGATAAGAATAGATTATAAGGCATTGAGATTATTGCATGAATGTGTCCAACAATCAGATTCATACATATAAAGCAACATTCAAGAAAAAAACAAATGCTTAATTTTCTGAGATTTTAAGATATGGATATAGAGAGTAATTTTTTAAAAAGACGTTGGTAATAAAATAATTTATCATAATTAATTCAATAAACACAATTTCAAAATATAGTTAAATGGGGTTTTGGGGTTTTGGGGTTTTGGGGTTTTGGGG